CCCCCCCCCCCCCCGGATCAAAGACTAATCTGGCTAATTTCAACTTCCAGAAAACTACCAAAACAGTCTGTGGTGGCAGATACCTACATGGTACAAGATAATAAGTATGGTAACTGCTAGAGGTCTTCTTAAATCTCAGAGAAACTAAACAATTTTCACAGGTTGGCCTCAGCATAAATAGCAAATTCCACAAATATTTCCTGGATGTGCTCCAGCATCCCTGCTCCTCAGTACTGATTGGTGGAGACACCCTGGGGGGTGGAAGGACAAGGGGGCAGCTCGTCTGCTGCCCTTTGTGCCATTCCACCAGTTGGTGCCTTCCTGCCCCAACCTACGCAGGCTGCGAGGCTGGGCTGCAATGGTAATGAGGACCACTGGCTCCCACTGGGGAGCCAACATTTTGTTTTTATTACGTTTTTTTTAAGTTGATTTTGTGGACAATGCCAGATTTCATAGTTTCCGTGAAATCCACACAGCTGCAACTTGAATAGGCCCTTAGTAATAGCCAGCCAATGTGGATCTGTCAAGATTAAATCATGTCAAACAAACCTAAGCCTCCCCCTGTGAAATGGCAGGAGGCCTTGTAGTTGAGTTTAGGTAAGTTTGATTTAGGTAAGGTTTCTGACACCTTCTCACATCCCGTTCTCGTAAGCAAGGTAAGGAAATAAGATGAAAATTAAATCATTTGTTGAGTGGCTGCAAAACTGGTTGAAAAATCTTATTAGGAGAGAACCACTGATAGGTGGTTCACTCAGAGTTGGAGGGAAGGGAAAGAATGGACTCAAGTAGGGGTCTGTCCTTGGTCCTGTCTAGTTCAGCTTGTTCATTAATGACTTGGATGATGGAATAGAGTATGCATTATATCTACAAATGATACTGACCTGGGAGGAATTGCAGGCACTTCGGACAGCAGGGTTAAAATTAATTCAACCTGATCTTAACAACTTGGAGAAAAAGAAATGCACAAGATAGGGGAAGAGTGGGGGAGAGAGGCAAGTACAAAGTACTACATTTAGGTAGAAATAATGGGACAAACAAAGTGGAGAAAGAAAGAATGGCTAGGCAGCAGTTGAGGAAAAGGATCTGGGGGTTGTGGCAGATCACAAATTGCACACACAAATGTCATATTGGGATGTATAAAGTGAAGGTTCATGGTAACCTTTCCACTCCACTCAACACTGGTAAGACTCCAGCTGAAGCGTGGGGCCCAAAACTGAACACAATACTCCAAGATAAATGTAGATCAGTGGGAGGATACAGAAGACAGCAAAATCAGTGAGAAAGTGTGAACTATGAAAAAGGTTGGAAGATCTGAGTTTGATAAGAGAAAAGATAGCTGAGGGAAAACCATCACAGCTGCTCCAACAACACTATGAACCTACCGGAGATGTGATGACAGTCATCAAATGTGCAAGACTGCTGCAAAAAGAAAGGTAATGAAATTGTTCTTAGCATCCACTGGGGATAAGGACAAATTAAGCACTTGAACAGATTGCCTAAGGAGGCTGCAAAATCTCCAGGTTGAAGGTATTTTTTTAAAAAAACATCTATAAGAAGTGGTCACAGGATAGCTGATCCTATCTTGGGATGGAAAAGTCAGTTTTGTCCATCCTGCTAAGTCTCTTCCAGTCCTAAGGTGTTCAAATTCATGTCCTTAGATATGGCACTTCTGGATAACAAGCAGCTGTTAGAAGTTACTTGAAGAAACATATTTGAAAACTGTAACAGGACACTAAAAATATCCCCCAGCTCTTGCACAGCATTATTCATCAGTAGAATTAAAGCACTCGACCCTTATCCCCATATTACAGACAGGAAACTGATGTCAAGGGGAAGAGTCTAAGGTCACCCAGCAAGTCAGTCATACAGTCAGAAGTAAACATATCCCAGCCTAGTGCTCTGTCCACTTGGACAACTTGCTTTAGTAGGCATCTGTGTGCTACACAAGACAACATAATTACACTGAGTGAGGCATCAGCTTGCTGAGCATTTGCGAGTAGCTACAGAGCCCAATTCTTTAGTGACAGTCCCTTCTGCTCTTATCACATTTGAAGCTCATATCAAACCATCCTGAATGCGATGTGGGGTTTTTCTTGAGGATTCATCTTTCTTCTACATATTGGGCTCTCATTTCCTTGAAAGACTTCATTCTGTGCTTAACAAACAAGTTGTTTAAATTGAATGAAGAAGTAAATAGGCTAAGTGTTATTTCAATTCAGTGCTGCTGCTACTAAATCAAAGACCAATTACAAATCTTAAACATGATTCACAATCAATTCTTCAGCTACAGATTTGCACATTGTTGCATATGTTGTATATGTCATATACATATATATGACCAAGTAACAGTTCTGCATGTTTTTTCATAGGAGACATATGATCACTCAGTTAGGAAGTGCTCCCAGTGAGGATAGTTTAGATCAGTTGTGTGTTACAGGGTTTTTGGTATATACATCTGGTTGAAATGTGATGGAT